TAAAATTTTTACTTGGAATGGAAAGAAAACTAAAAAGCATAAATAAGTAAACAACTTACCTTAAAGTATTTAAAGAGAAAAGTTGGTGACAAAAAGAGCACTTGCCGGACTCATAGGAGAAAAAAAGAAAAGGCTGAGTGGACGCAACGATAACTCGATAAGACTAAGATTTAAGTCTAAAATAATGTTAAAGACTAAAGAGAAAAGGTGGAGTCGAAGTTTGAAAGTCAAAGGCTGTATGAACTATGGAGGTTGAAGAATATGAGAAGAGTTAGAAGTTTGAAGAGTTAGAGTTTTCGAGAGTATTAGGTCAAGCAAGAATAGAAAAGGTCAGAAGGTGAGTTATGAGTGGAGTGGGATTATTTTTACTTCTAGAAGATAATGAGTCAAGAGAATCAATTAGTTATTTAGGAAATATTAGTCAATTATTAGAGGTTTAGGTGAGATTGGGAATTGGAAATTGGAAATTGGAAAACAAAATTAATAACTAATAAATTAAAAATTTTTATATTTTTAAATAGGTAAACGAGTCAAACTCGTTAACCCGATGGGTCAACCCGTTATTGACCCATGACCCGTTGGGTTCTCTTAACGGGTTATTAACGGGTCACGGGTCATAAATATATGACCCTAACCCATTTTAAACAGACGGGTTAACAGGTTGGGTAAAAAATTGTCAGGTCTAGTTCAACTAACTCATACTAACTTCCTAACTATTACCATTGTCAAAAAAAAAAAAAAAATCACGTGGCGAATTTACCATGTGTAGTGCCCTTTCAATTAATTTCGTCTTGTTGAGCTGCACAGTTGCATTAATTGTGGCACCTATATGTCTAAACATTTCATGCGGTCGTCACTCAACCGAACTAAAAGCTGTCTATAAATGTTGTTTAAGACTACATCATTTTATCATTAATTAATATTAAAAAATAAAAAAAAAATTTAAGAATATAGATTAAAAATATATTTAATGTATTTTTTAATTACTAAATTATATACATATATAAAAGTAAAGTTTAACTTTAGTTTTTTGAACCTAACCAATTAAATTAATATATGCAGTGTATTCTAATATTCCATTCAATTTGATTTAGTTATCTCAACTTAATTTCTATATAAAATTTGATCAAATGGTTTTATATAATAAATAAATGAAAACTGATTTTTTTTTTTCTTTTTATTCATAGTTCTTGTTAAGTATTTTCATTTAAATTAAAAAAAATTTCAATTGACATTCATTTTTACCGTATAAATTTGTTAAAGTAATTTATATAACGGTTTTTTCTAGTTAAAGTTGTAATTAATATACCATTTTACAATTAATTTGTACAAAAATATAAATATTAACTTTGTTTAAATAATTAACCAATTAAAATCATTTACATGCATTTAGGCCTTTGGTTTAATAACGTCAAGTCACGTATAAGTGCATTCTTCCTTCTCCCGGACAACGATTTGAATTCGGTCCATTGTGAATTTATTCAAAAAAAAAATCATTTACATATTAATAGTGTTAAAATTAAAATTAAAATTGCAATTTTTTGACAATTTTTTATGTAAATTAATTTCAAAATTGTGCATTTATTGCACTTTAAGAGTATGCATTAGATAAAGGATAAATGTTTATATAAAGTTGAAGGAGTAAAAGAATTAAAAAAGAGTGGAGGAAGATCCACATGTTCCGGCTTAGTGACATTGACCCTGAGTTAGTAGGATCACCTTCGTGAATTATAGTTTTAAGTCCCAGAGATTCCCTTTACCTTATCCTCTCCCTCAATTGTAATCATGTTTAAAAAAAAAAGAAGTGAAGGAAGTATTAATGTTTTTGGTTTTTTATGTAACTTAATAATTAAAAAATGTATTACTTACACTTTTAATATGTACTTAAGAAAAAAATTATATTTTCAACACCAATGTTATATGAATTATTTTAATACGATAGTTGATAAAATAATTAACATTTTTTTATAATAATTAACTTTTTTTATGCATCTGATTATGAGTTATATAAGATGAAATAGTCATTCTCTATTCTCAAATCCCTCCTCACCCGACTCAAGGGTCAAATTTAGAATCTCGAACTTAGAATCGTAAATTCTTATTCGTTGAGTCACCCCATTAGAGTTTTTTTATAATAATTAATGAGAACAAAGAATAAAATAAATATACCATTAACTTACGTCTTAGAGTATAAGTTAGATAAATTTATGTTTAAATATATCACTAGTAAAAAATTGATATTTTAAGTTAAGGATGGCACTATGGTCACATCTTAAATAGTTGACATTATACCCTTTTAATATAATTACTTATTATGTCTTTAAGTTACTACATTTTTTCTCAAAATTTTACACTTTTTGGTTTCTTGATAAATTAAAAAATATAATAATCAATTAAAATAAAAATATATAGCATTAGTAATTAAAGATATGATAGTAAGATCACCCTTCAGCTAGAGATCTAAAGTTTACAATTAACATCGGAGAATTATTTTTAAAAAAAATGTGAGCACCATCTATTACATAGATAGTTCATTCATAAAAGATTTAATGTCAGTAAAAATCCTTAAAAAGCAGTTATTTTCATCCCTTCACTTTAAGAAAACTTCATAAAAATCCCTCAATTTTGAGAAAATGTCAAGCATCATTTAGTTGACGAATGTCATAAGGCCATCCATTAATATGCTAAAATCGCTAAAATCTCAATGGTAAACTTTTTTGGTTTTGTGCACTCTGATTCTTAGACTTCAATTTATTCAATTTGGTCCTTAATTTTAACTTTTCTTATTAAAATTTAGTCATTAGACTTTTTAAAGAGTTGCAATTAAGTCTTAAAATTTATGATTTCCGGCATTCCAAACCCTTTTTTATTTTTGGCACAAATTAAGCATCAAAAACTTAATTTTTTACTTTTCTTTATCAATCTAAACTGATTTTTTCTTTTCCTTACTATAGAATGGAAATTGTGTTTAATAGTTTGGGCTGGAAAAGTCATTTTTTCTTGTACCTAAAAATAACAAAGCAAAAACTTGGATAAGTTACCACAACTAAGCTTATATATGGTATTTTTAATGAAAGTCTTAACCCCAACCTTGCTTTAAAATAGGCAGAAATCAACCTACGCTTCAAACCTAAGCTTACACTTCGAAAGACACTTGGACCAAAAGCTGACAAGTCATAGATATCATAAGAAGAGTCCTCCCAACAGACCCAAACAACCAAACCCTTCGTTGTATTGAAAAATGAAGTCCTGACCCTACATTGACAAACCTACACAAAGTCAGGTAACCTACATAGGGTAGGACCAAACTTGAAACTTCACAATAGCAGGAAAAAAAATAAAAAAATGAACATTAAACAAGCAATTGAAAGTGAGAAGGAAAACAACGGCGAGGAGAAAGATTGGGAGCAGGGGCGCTTCCTTGTTTCTTGGTAAAAATCTAGTTAATGAAGCCGTTAACCTTTTCAGCCCCAAAAAAACCCGCTTTTTTTCTCTGCCTCGGTTAAAAATAATGTAATAATGTTGTTGCTTTTGCAAAAAGATGCTTCTAGGTTTTCATAGCAGCTGCATAATAATTCAACAAAATGCTAATACTCGTACTAATTAGCAGATATTGATTAGTACACATTTTAGTTTAATATATTATATAATATACTTATTAAAAATTATTATTTTTGTTATAAAATTAAAATCACATAAACTTAAAGATATGACTATACAAAAAATATATAAAAATCAATTGAATTGACTGTACTTATATTATATTTGAATAATTAAACTGAGCAAATATCAAAAAGCATATTAAACCAAAATGAATGTTAATTATTTTTCTTAGTTAATACTTTTTCCAATCAATTTTAGTGTATTTAAATTTTAATTTAGAGCATTTAAATTTAAGAAATTAATGTTTATCAACCAAATTTACAAAAAATAAGTTAAAAAATACTCAAAATTATATCATTTCAATATATAACACAACTAGAAAAGATTAAAGTAGTCTTATTCTTATTTCAAAAATTATAATGTTTTAGTCTTTTTCAATAAAAATTTATTAAAATAATGTAATTTTATGGTATTTTTTTACCTAATTTTTTCCAGGCACAACCAATAAATATTTTTCTCTAAATTTGATTGTCCATTATTCTTTTTAAGATGTCATTTAACATATTTATTTTTATTTTATTCTTATTTTAAAAATTACAACATACTTTAAATAATAATTAATTAAGAATAAATATTAAATTTTATTAATTAATTATTATCTTTTTATTTTATTAAAAAATTAATTTTACTAAATTTGAACGCATGCGATATAAAAATTTTAAGTTTGTAGTAAACCCAGAAGTTTACCCGCAAAAGATCTACATTTAGCTGCTACAAATTTCGGTTTTAGCGCTTTTAAGAACCATTTTGATTTAATTGTAGCTTTTTATAAAAAAAATTTTCCTCTTATATGAAGTCCACTTTCCAAGTTTTTCATCCCAAAGTGATTAACGTTTGTGCCTTTTTTTTTTTAAACAAGAGGAAAAAGAAAAAAAAAACATGTTTAGTTTGAGGGGATATGGAGGGAAGGAGAAAGAAAAAAATTTGTTCATCCAATTAAATTTCTATTTTCTTTTATCAGCTTGGTTCCATTAAATCAATAATCTCTTTGTTTCATAATAATTTTCATTCTTTTATTCAAAATTTGTCATAATATAATTACCGTTTTTTAGTTTGTAAATGGGAGAAATATTTTTTTTCTTATTTTTACCCACCTATCTCTAAAATTTTATTTTTATCTTTCTATATTACCTTCTTAGATAATATAGGTAAATACATAAATTATTTTTAAATTCTTAATTTGTGAAAAAATTAAAAAAAAGACAATTATTATGGTATGGAGGGTGTACCAAACAATAAAAGTAAATTAAAGGTACACACTCTTAGTCCAATAAATTTCAATTGAAAAAACCTAAAATACCATATTTTAGTAACAAGAATTAGATTATTTTTAGACTTTTCTTATAATATTTTATTAAAATAATATAATTTTAAAATAATTTTTGTCTTAATTTTTTAAAAATAAAGCAAATAAATACTAATCTATATGTATATATATATATGAGGAGATATTTAGTTACACACAAATTTTATATATAACACTTAACAAAATCTTGACAATTTATTTTTTCATTGTCATCTCTCCACAAGTCTTGCATATTTTCACGATTAAAAGTATAAATGTAGTGCATAAAACTTACTTGTATGTGTGTGTATATATATAACTTAAACCAAAATTTTCAACCCCTCTTCAATTCTCCCTCTTCCCCTTCCTATCTGATCTCTTCTATCCTCCTCCTTTCACTTTCATCTTTTTGCCTTCTCAATTTTTCTATGAGCTATCTTGATTTATCTTATCATGTAAATTTATCACGTTTTACTCTAGCTTTTTCACGAAATTCCGTAACATTTATCTTGATTAATTTCATTAACTTTAAATCTGAATCATGAATGTACATAAATGTTAGGCATGCATAACACTGCATTAGGCCTAATTATTACTACTTCAAATGTTGTTTGCTTGTAATTTCTGGGTCCTATGCTTTGTGGGTTTTAATTTAGTTGTGAAAGAATGTATTTTTGAACTTGTAGTTAGCAATTCTCTTTGTACTCTAAGTAATAATATTTATTTTTTTATGATAAAAAAAAATATTCAATTACAAAAAGATATAAAATCGAACTCATGTATTTTTATGATAATACAATCGAACTTATTTAATAATTCCACTTAGCCATCTTGTTTATATATAAGCCCTTTCCTTGTGCATGATGTTGAAGCATCAGACGCAGCAATGGCGAAAATTGAGCAAGTTTTCTCTGCCATTCACTGGCTTTATTCTCAGTTAACATTATTGGATATAGCCGTTGCTTTGTTGGGTTTATTCATTTTGAGTTGCTTGCGTGAGAGACTGATCAGAAAGAAGGATCCTATGCTGTGGCCGGTGCTCGGAATATCACCGACTGTAGTTTTCCACACCATCGCCGATGACATGCATGAATGGTTCACTGGTGCTCTGATAAAAGCCGGTGGAACCTTCAGCTACAGAGGAATATGGTTTGGACGGTGCTATGGCATCGTCACCATTGATCCTTCCAACATTGAATACATGCTCAAAACAAATTTCAAAAATTTCCCAAAAGGGGAGTATTACCAGGATAGGTTTAGTGATCTGCTCGGTGATGGAATCTTTAATGTCGATGGTGAATCATGGAAGGAGCAGAGGTGGATTGTGAAGTCGGAGATGCATTCAATCAGGTTCTGTTCTCTTCTATTTTTTAAAATGATTTTCTCATGATGTTAACTTCAAAAGGTTGTGAGTACTAATTTGGCTGAACTCTTGTTCTAAACAGGTTTGTGGAACATTCATTCCAAACCATGCAGGATTTAGTGCAGCAGAGGCTGTTGATGCTGACAGAAAAGATGGTCCGTTCAGGGGATGCTTTTGATCTTCAGGAAGTTCTTCTGCGGTTCACGTTCGACAATATCTGTACTGCCGCACTCGGGATCGATCCTGGATGCTTGGCGCTTGATCTCCCCGAAGTTCCATTTGCCAAAGCTTTTGAAGAAGCAACAGAACTCACTCTGTACAGATTCTTGATGCCACCCTTTGTATGGAAGCCGTTGAATTTTTTTCAAATTGGATACGAGAAACGGCTCCGGAAAGCAATTAAAATTGTCCATGATTTTGCCGAGGAGACGGTTAGAGATCGCCGTAGCAATGAATCCGAGTTTGGAAACCTCAAGGACAAGTCCGATCTCTTGTCAAGACTCATGGAGAGGGGAAACAGAGAACAAGCTCCAGAGAAATTTTACAGGGACTTCTGCATTAGTCTCATCCTCGCCGGACGGGACACAACCTCGGTCGGACTGGCCTGGTTTTTCTGGTTAATAAGCAAAAACCCAGAAGTTGAAATCAAGATTCTCAACGAAATCTGTGAAATTCTGCGTCAGCGTAGAGCTGAAGAAGACGAAAAGGAAGACTCTGTTTTCACAATAGAGGACCTGAAAAAAATGGTGTATCTCCAGGCGGCGTTGTCGGAATCCCTGAGGCTATACCCGTCGGTACCGGTGGAAATGAAGTGCGTTCTAGAAGATGACATTTTCCCCGACGGAACTCCGGTGAAGAAGGGAGCACGGGTTTTCTACTGCATATTTTCAATGGGTCGGGTAGAATCCATATGGAGCAGAGACTGCCTGGAATTCAAACCGGAGAGGTGGATCAAGGATGGACATTTTGTAAGTGAGAATCAGTTCAAGTACGCCGTGTTTAACGCCGGCCCGAGGATGTGTGTCGGAAAAATATTTGCATACATGCAGATGAAGATGGTGGCTGCTTCAATCCTGTTAAGGTATTCAGTGCAGGTGGTTGAAGGTCACAGGGTCAGTCCGAAGGTGACCACTACACTGTATATGAAAGATGGGTTGATGGTGACTCTTAAGCCTAGGCCGCTAATTTCAAATCCTGAGAAGGAACATGAGTAGAATAATGGGTTAATATTTTCTTGTTTTGTCTTGTGCTATTAGTGTTTAGGTTCGGATCTCACTTTATGCTTGAACAGGTGTGTTTGCCTGTTTTTTCCTATGTGATGTGATTGCAACGCAATGTATGTTGTGATTCGGATGAATTTTAAGGATCAATTTAATTGTTTTCATGTTAAATTATGACTCGAGCAAGAGTTTATGTAAAATAATTGAAATTTTTACACTCAAGATTATTCAAATAAGTCTTTTATAAGTGTTATATAAAGTATTTTTACATTTTGATTTTGTTACAACTTAAGTTTTAACTCAAAAGCCTAACCTATTATTAGAACGTTTTAATCTCCCTTTTTTCATACATGTGAGGGCTCTTCACCGTCCAAATTAGAAAAAAATCATATAATGCGACTCATCATTGGTGTAACATTCCCTCCCATTCATACCCACCATTAGCCTTTCTACTTTTACCATGAGCGCACGGTTGGTATCGAATAAGTAGGCTTTAATTTTTTGGTTTACACTCTTTTTCTATGATCAGTCATGTAAACAAAGGAAACCACAGCATTTACATGAACTATTACTGGTTTTTGCCTTTGTTCTAATTTCATTCAATAACGCAATATAAAATTATAAAATTTTATTTACATGAATTATTGAATTCTTGTGCTGTCCAGGATATTTGATATAGAGAATGATAATTGCATTTGCATACAATGCCTAGGCAGTTACCCTGGTGGGAAAAGAAAGAATTCCTAAGCTTCAACAGGATAGCACCTGAATTGAGGTACGAGTTAATCAATTACAATACTTTTTCCCCAGAGAAGATCTAAATATAGTGTCTGGAGTGTCTAGTTGTAGACATGCTGGTTCAGCTCTGACATTGGCCAATTTGCATAAGTGGCTGCCCTCATATCCATTCCACTAGGCTCCCTAAGCCATCATGTATGGTAAAATATGAAAGGAAAGGTTTTGTCCCACTTGAACTCCTTGTGCTGTCAACTAGTTTGAACCACTGGCTTGCAGGGTCACACATGTTATCTTCGCTTAAGCATTTGCATGTGTTTATAACAACTGTGTTGCTGGAGTCCACATCCAGGCAAACTGATGTACCGTTGCTAAGCTTAGACGATAGGTGCATCTTTGAATCAGATATCATTTCCCATAGTGAATTGGAATCACTGCAGATAACCCCAAGTTTTGCAGGCTTCTCCAATTCATCAGCTTGTATGCAGAAATATGTCCCCTTTATCACTAAACTCTTCTGTGTTGTGTAACTCCAGGCTTCAGATTCTGAACAGTCACCCAAGCGCAAAGGCTCAAGCAGCGATTTCCTTTGGATGCAGAGGCCTGTTGCCGGATGAAAAATCACTTTATGCAGCTTAGATTCTGTTAGACCTGGCCCTGCATACATATATATCAAACAGACATGTTATGATACCTGGTATGGACTTCAACTCTCACAAGAGCTTTGTTAGAAAAAAAAGTGTAAGTGGAATCATGTTTTCTTTACCTTGGAAAGGAGATTGTAGGACTGAGATTTTCTTTAGGAGAGTTGAATTCCTGATTCCAACCCAATTCCAATTCAAGATCCCATAATACTCATTAAACCCAATAACCCCTTCTCTAAGGTAATAACTCCCAACTAATGGCCAATACGCCCAGTCCAGGTCAAGTTCAGCTGCCACTCCCATGAAGCAATTCAAGTACCTGTTGTCTTTTACATTGTTACCTCTCTGATCCAACCCAAACTCGCTCACAAACAGCGGATACCCTTGCTGCAACAAAAATCCAGTTGATCTCATTACCCTGTTCACTACATTCCCACAAACCTGGTTTGAGTTCCCACCTTCCCACGCCTCTCCATCTGTGAAACTATACCAGTGCATCTCAAAAACCAGTTTTTGGGTGAAGGTAAGGCTCGTTGGCTGGTTTTTGAGGAATGACAAGTCTGTGTCAAACCTCAAGCCCGAGAGGATGACCAAGACATTTTGGTTGGCTGAATGCACTGCTTCAGCCCCTTTCTGCATGTACTTGTACCAGTCATTGACGTTCTGTTTGGGGCCTCTGAGCTCGTTTCTGAGACTCATGCCAACTACATTCTCGACGCCATTGAACATGGTGGCAATCCGAGATAGGCCCTGCATCCATTGATCAGGGTTGAAGTACCGGTCGCCGAAGAATCCATTGCCATCAGAGCTGCTGCAGCACCAGGCGGGCTTACTTATGTGATTGTCCAGTATGACCATCACGTTGTTGTCCCCAAGACTAGATACGACCGCCTGCAATTAATTATCTTTCATAAGCACTCTTAATAATTTCTGATTTTTATAAAATCTATAAAGCTAGCAATTGCAACTCTAGTTCTACCTTTCGAGTTTCAAATTTCTTCCATATATTTACATTTAATAAAATTTATTATCTTTCAAAAGTATTTTTCTTGTGAGGCAAATCTAAAGCTTAAGTTTTGGGCAAATAAAAAATTCATTTTTTTGAATATATCATGCCAATATAGGAGTGTACCTCACGATCATTGGGAAAGGAAAATTAATCTTAAAATATACAAAATCTTATCAAATAACATTATAATTGTAAATACCAAAAAATATTTTTTTTTTCCTTTTTTTTAACAAAAATCATATAGTTGCATTAATGTAGTTTATAATTATAATGTGTTATTATATAATTAATTCTTTTTATTTAATAGAGATTTTCTTTCTACTTTGCTTTAGTAACTCTATTTATGCTCCTAGAGCAATTACTAATACACTTTTTAAATATATTTGTCTCTCTATGTTTAATTGTATACATTTATTATAGCCATAATTGTTTATATTTATTATAGATATAATTTAAATTTGTACCTAACACTATAAGATATACTTTTACTGGTTATACATGTCATAATATATATTTTCATATATAATCTCAATTTTATTTATTTTAATACAATTTTTATTTTTTATAAAAAAAA